CAACAATGTGTAAATATGGACCGACAACAATGGTCAGCTTGCGTGCATTGTTATGTTACCTAGGAAACGTCATCTGTTTACTCGGCATTGTTGTGTTACATTACTGCCGTCAACAATCCGCTTTCGTTATTGCGGAAAGAGCTGAGCTGTGAATCGCTTGTAGAAGAAGTGGGTCGTAGACTAGATAATTTTGCAATTACATTACATTTCATTACATTACATTACATTCAGCTACCTTCCTTTCATTGTATTTATTGCTTAAATATAAGTTAAATACAGAGACGTATTTACGTCAGATTCTCCGGAACCGTGGTTCCACTGTCAATTTTTCACTATACTGACTACCTATTCTTTTTTATTTTGACGTAAATACGTCTATAAGGAAGGGTCATTCGGCAAAAAAGGGGAACGAAAAAGGGAAACGAAAAAGTGTGACCTGGTTACCTAAAAGCGTCAATCGTTTACTCGGAATTGTTGTTGCCTAGCAAACGTCATCTGTTTACTCAGCATTGTTGTTACCTAGGAAACGTTACATTACATTACTCGGCATTGTTGTTACCTAGGAAACGTCATCTGTTTACTCGGAATTATTGGTACCTAGAAAACGTCATCTGTTTACTCGGCATTGTTTGTACCTATAAAACATATCATTACATTACCTTACATTACAATACATTACTTTACATTACATTCAGCTACCACAGACTCATCTTAAGCGTAACTAATTCAAGTTGATTAAGCAATGTCTTAAACAAATTTATCTCAATTGTAAAGCATGTATAAAGGAAATATTTAGAATAAAGCCAATATATTAACTTCCTTTCCGTATAGACGTATTTACGTCAAATTCTCCGGAACCATGGTTCCACTGTCAATTTTTTTTATTTGGATTGTGGTCTTTTGGGATGTGACGCAATGTAGTCTTGTGGATGGCTGCCAGCGTTCCGGAGGAACGTATCGTCTGTACCTACAGGGTTATCGATGACCTAGGAGACCACACTCCACAGTTCGACTGCCGATTAAATCCCCGCATCCTCGAAGATGGAAGCCTTGTGGGTTGTTGCGCCGTGTAGTCTGGTAGAAGTTTGCCGACGTTCCAGAGGGCGTCGCCCTGATAATGGAGAGAAAGCAACAACCCAAAAGACAGCCGTCTTCATACCTGCCGCCATGAGAACCTTAAATCTCACCCCTGCTTTAACATTTAAAAACTTTGCATTCCGTCAAAGCGTTCGTATTTTCAGTTTACTTGTGAGAATGTAGAGCAATTTTCCTGAAAATCTTCAACTGAATGGACCTTGTAAAGAGATGTATGATGTTTAAAGAGGTACGAGCTGAATTTGTAAATATGAACTTATTTAAACGCTCTTCGGTCTTTAGAGGGTTAAATCAGTTCCTCGTGAGCTGAATATAAACTAGTCTTCTTTTAGTGTATGAATAAATTTACGTCCAGGTTAACATTTGTTTGTCTTTGCCGCTCTTTCATATTGAAAACTGTATTTAAACGTATTTACAGACGTGCTTCTTAAGCAAGACACATTCAACAAAAGTGTCAAGTCAGTTTGGCTGTGGTAAGTGGCCTCTGATTAAGTAGCATAGTACAGTGGAAATCTAAAAATCATTAATTAGTGCCGAACGTTGTACTGTGAAGGTCGCCACCATTGCTTTACGTTACGCAGTTCTGCGAATTAATCCGCTAGGTGAGCTGTAATATTAAGTGTGCATGTTTTATGACTTTATCTGAGCAATGCCTATAAATTGGTCACAGTGGCAATCTTAGTAATCCACTCGATTTCACAAATCGTTTTCACCCTTACAGCGACAACTCCGTAAATCTCTTCACAAACGTGCGACGCGTGCTACAACAACAAACGTTCTTTGGTCCTCGAAATATGTGTGCTGGGGTATATTATGAGGAAAGGGTCTAAAAAGAGATCGATTGTTTTTTAAAAGTGCACGTTACTTTTAGGTTCAAACAAATTGTTAAAATATTCCGTTCTTTCTTCTGATCATCATACCGAGTGGTTTACAGCCTTTTGGCCGTTTCTCGCATCCTAGGCACCTAGGATTTTTCCCCTTTCTCAGAGTAGCAGGTGGCAAGCCTGCTGCCTCTTTCTTCTCCAAAACAAAAACAAAAATTGTATTTTTTTGTATTATGCATTATGTGCAATCGTGTAAGGTCGCTTTTGTGAATGCAATCGTCAAACTCTGATACCATGTCACTTTCTGCGTTATTACGGTGCTACGTGGAAGCAAGCTTTGATTATAGATCCCCCACTTCATTGTGTGCTTGCTTGACGACAGCATGTTTTGTCATAATATTTACAGTGTTCTTATTTTGACGTGAATACGTCTACAAAGAAGGGTCATTTGGCAAAAAAGTGTGACGAAAAGGGAAACGAAAAAGTGTAACCTGGTTACCTAGGAAACGTCGTGTTTACTCGGCATTGTTGTTACCTAGGAAACGTCAATTGTTTACTCGGCATTATTGGTACCTAGAAAACGTTACATTACATTACTCGGCATTGTTGTTACCTAGGAAACGTCATCTGTTTACTCGTCATTATTGTTACCTAGAAAACGTCATCTGTTTACTCAGCATTGTTGTTACCTAGGAAACGTTACATTACATTCATCTACCACAGACCCATCTTAAGCGTAACTAATTCAAGTTAAGCATTCAAGCATTTTTGTTACCTAGGAAACGTCATCTGTTTACTCGGCATTGTTGTTACCTATAAAACATTACATTACCTTACCTTACCTTAAGTGTTACTAGAATCCCGTGAAATATATTTCGAGTATTTGAGTGTGCTGAGAACAGGCAAAAAGTAATTACTACCAAAACGTAACTCGAATGCAGACACTGCTACACTACACTACACTATCTTAAGACGTGTTACGTGAAGCATTATACAGAGTGTCCGAGAAAGAGTGCACACATTTTAAACAATTTTTATTTAGTAAATAAACAGAGCTAGGAGAGTACAGTTTTCACCACACGAAATAGCAACTCAGAAAGTATATTTCCCCTCCACCGTTCTCCACTTCATTGTACTTCGATCTGAGCTCCCTTTGTTGTTCGCACAATGTCCATCCGGTATTCAAAAGCCCGGAAAACGTTGCCACATATTTGAGGCGTGATTCCTTCCACAGAATGAACGATGCGGTTTTTCAAATCTTACAAACAAATTACTCGTGTGCGGTACACCTGATCCTTTGTGTACCCCTAAAGGAAGAAATCCATAGGCGTTAAATCCGGCGATCTTGCAGGCCATGCAACTGGTCCACCTCTTCTAATCCATCTTGCAGAAAACGTTGTGTGCGGAAAATAATGCCTGAGTTGCTGTTTCATGTGGTTAAAATTGTACTATCCTAGCTCTGTTTATTTTCTAAATAAAAATTTGTAAAATGTGTGCATTCTTTCTTGGACACCTGTATATATGATTAATGATGCCGCTGCCATTTCTAAATCAACTGTGTACAATAAAATAATTCTTAATTATTCGAATAACCTTTTGGTGTGTGACGTAAAGGGCTCGACTACATACACGCTAAACTACAGTAAGCAACTTATGTCCTTCAACAATTACATATGCCTGAACGTATCCACTATCGAGATTACACTTGTCAGAGGTTTAATAACATTTGGTAGACATATTACGCCACAGTTTAAAATATTTATGCGACATATGAGATTTGGAATGATGTAATTATATAAGTCCCACAAAGGGCAATGACAAACACACGGCTCGCTCGTGTAATAATCCGTGGCGTAACAGCCCTCTGAGAACCGGACGCCACTATCCATCACCCTCTGGGCAGAGGCGTCACTAATCTAACCTAATATAACCTAACTCAACTCAACTTAACCTAAAACCGTGGTAATCTCTCCCATTCATAATTGTCGTTTAAATACTCAAATTTCATACCAAGAGAACAGATGGGTGGAATTAGCTGAAAGTTTGTATGAACATCATGCCACTGTTAAGTACATTAAACACGTACTTTTTATTTCATATACTTTATAATACTGACGCAAGGTAACATCAAACTCACGAGGTGGCACATTGGTGACACAAGCAGCCACGCTCACTCCGTGCATAATCCATCCTCACCCGACCATCCAAATCGATGTCTGCACGCTTTTCCTAATTACAGGACAATCATTTCCAATTTGTTCGTAAAACTTATTAATTTAGAAGTAATTTTTGAAAATAATTCTTTCAGACTGCAAATACAGCGACTAAATAAGGCTGAAAAAATTATCATTGCTATACACGAACTCATTCGTGCATACAATATAAGACATTTTAATGTATAATTACTACAACGAAAACAGATATTTTAATTAAATTAGTTTGCGATCTTTAATTCCTTCTGAACAGTGAATCCTGCAAATAATTTAAAAATTACGTAACTGTATTTCGATATCTAGGGGTCAGATGCCAATGGTTTCCAGTTGATGTTGTTCTGACAGCCCCACTGCTACGAATCTGCATACCGATAATACACGTCATTTTTCAAACATAATCAATTATTTCACTTGTACTACATAGCGGGATTCACACAGAACTTCCACTTGCTAACTACCTTTCCTAGGCGGTGTCTGCAATCTTATGAACGTATATGATCAATGCAGTCACCTGCAAGTGAAATATTATCAATATTGAATTTATATTTCGTAATGGTATTGTCAGGGTGATTAAGCCGAGAAGAATGAGATGGGCGGGGCATGTGGAGTGCATGGATGGGACAAAAGGTGTGCACCGGGTATTGGTGGGAAAGCCTGTGGGGAAGAGACCGCTGGGGAGACCTAGACGTAGATGGGAGGATAATCTCAGACGGGATCTATGGGAGATAGGAGTTGAAAGAAACTGGATTTTGTTGGCCCAGGACAGGGTTCGGTGGAGGGCTTTGGTTAATTCGGTGATGAACCTTCGGGTTCGGTAAGCCATCTAGTTAGTTAGTTAGTACCGCTACACGCCATGTAGGTCGCTTGGGGAGAGAGATATAGGTCCTACGCATTTTTGACCTCGGCACTAGATGGGGTGAGTGGTCAGCATCACGCCCCGGCCGCGCTTAACCCCCGGGAAAATACCCTGTTACCCATTGGATAGGAAGCTGGATGGGCCCAGAGCCGGTCTGGTCACAGATGCTAGAGCAAAAATCCTTTGCCCTCGTCGGGGATGGAACCCCACTCGTCCAGTCCATATACTGACTGAGCTATCCCCGCTCCTCTGTTTACTCGTCATTATTGTTACTTAGAAAACGTCATCTGTTTACTTAGCATTGTAAGTTTGATTAAGACATTGCTTATTTAACTTGAATTAGTTACGCTTAAAATGGGTCTGTGGTAGATGAATGTAATGTAAAGTAATGTAATGTAATGAAATATAATGTAATGTAATGTAATGTTTCCTAGGTAACAACAATGCTAAGTAAACAGATGACGTTTTCTAAGTAACAATAATGACGAGTAAACAGAGGAGCGGGGATAGCTCAGTCAGTATATGGACTGGACGAGTGGGGTTCCATTTTACTTAGTTCGTCTTAACTAACTAACTAGATGGCTTACCGAACCCGAAGGTTCATCACCGAATTAACCAAAGCCCTCCACCGGACCCTGTCCTGGGCCAACAAAATCCAGTTTCCTTCAACTCCTATCTCCCATAGATCCCGCCTGAGATTATCCTCCCATCTTCGTCTAGGTCTCCCCAGCGGTCTCTTCCCTTCAGGTTTCCCAACCAGTACCCGGTGCACACCTCTTGTCCCATCCATGCGCGCTACATGTCCCGCCCATCTCACTCTTCTCGACTTAATCACCCTCACAATACTGGGGGAGCAGTACAGATTTTTAAGCTCGTCATTGTGCAGTTTTCTCCACGCCCCATCGTCTTCCCTCTTAGGCCCAAATATCCTCCTCAACACCCGATTCTCAAACACCTGCAATCTGTGTTCCTCCCTCTGAGTGAGAGACCATGTTTCGCACCCATACAAAACAACAGGCAAGATTATTGTTTTGTATACTTTAATTTTCAGGTTCTTAGAAATCAGACGGGAAGACAAAATATTTTGGACTGAGAAGTAGCAAGCATTTCCGGAATTTAGTCTCCTCCTAACTTCCTCACAAGTATCATTTTGATTTGTTATTGTTGTTCCCAAATATTTGAACTTTGTAACCCTTTCAAAGGATTTATTAGCTACCCTAAGATAATTTTGCCCGCCTGTCTTCTGATGACGAGATACTAACATGTACTTAGTTTTTTCTGAATTTACTTCCAGCCCCACTTGTCTACCAGCCTCTAGTAAAACTTCTGCGTTCCTCTTTATTGTATTTATATCGTCCCCCAATAAATTAACATCATCAGCATATGCCAATAGCTGATGTGTCCCGTTCAATTGCAAACCCTCCTGCCTACCTTGGACCTTCCTGATGGCGTATTCTAGCGCAAAGTTAAAGAGCAAGGGAGACAAAGCATCTCCTTGTTTTAGACCGTTCTTGATGAGGAATGTCTCAGATACATATTTACCTACTCGAATTTTGCTGCAGGTTTCATTTAAGCACATTTTTATTAGACCCACTAGCTTCTTTGGTATACCAAATTCAATAAGAATATTATATAGCACTTCTCTCTTCACAGAGTCATAGGCTTTTTTGAAATCTATAAATAACTGATGTACGGTCCCACCGAACTCCCATTTTTTATCTAGTATCTGACGAATGCAAGAGATCTGATCAATCGTTGATCTGTTTCGTCTGAACCCACACTGATGATCCCCAATAGTTTCATTCGCATATGGGGTTAATCTTGCCAAAAGAATGTTGGATAGAATTTTGTATGAGGTTGATAGCAGCGATATTGCTCGGTAATTACCACACTCAGTCTTGTCCCCCTTCTTATAAATAGGAATAATTATGGATTCCTTCCATTGATGTGGCATCTCTTCCTTATCCCAAATTAACTGAATAAGCTTATGGATCCTCATATGCAACCCTTTGCCACCTGCTTTAATTAATTCGGCCGGAATCTGATCAATACCTGGATATTTATAACCTTTCAACTTCCCAATGGCTGCTTAAACTTCATCTAAACTAGGTTCTGGCACTAACAGTTCAGCTGTAAGTATTTTAATCTGTCTAATATCACCAGTCTCATAAACATTTAAGAGCTCGCTAAAGAAATTTTTCCAGCTATTCACAATACTTATTGGATCTGTAAGCAATAAAAATTGTGAATAGGTGGAAAAATTTGCGGTACTGCTTCACTTAAACTGTGAAGAGCTTGTAAGCAAATTTCGTTGCACCTTGTTTATGGCCCACTAATCACATTCTCCTAGATTACATGATCAAGATAAAATATGTCAACCAATATAAATCGGGAGGATCCTCATATAGTACAGGTACTCGCTGGTTTATGTAACAGTTGTGTTCCAAAGGAAAGACGCAGAATGTGAAACCACATAAATGATAAAACTCTCTTCTCCCCTCGCATTTTTCCTCTCTACTCTACTTCTCATTCGAATAGCAATTCACACTAAAGCAAGCGCTTTTAGCCGAAATTGGTCTAAATTAGGTGAGTGCATTAAAATGAAATCTCACTGAAGCCGATAATATACTTGAACAGATTATGTAAACACATTTTCAAGAAAGCGGCCTTCACAGTTCAGCTGTAGACGTGCTCTGCTCCACGTCCAACTTAAGTTTTTTACAGCGGACTTAAACTGTAAGATAAGGTTCTTAAATACCCAAACACATGCTAACAACAATTAATACTAATAAATAAGAAATACTATATACTGCAATTACATATCAAATATACATACTTAAATGCTGCAGTTGATGTCTCTGCTGAAAAGACAACAGTAAAGACTGTGTACTACTTACTGGCTCTCGCGGACGGAGTAGCAGCCAATGGAAGACTTGGTTTTGGTGTTACTGTGCACGGCCTGCTGATTTTAGTGGGTGGTTTCAACCCTGACGGTTTCGGCAGCCCAGCTGAACTCATGTTTCCGGCATTATCGTTCTCTTAGGGCGTATTTCGGTAATTAATTCGTTAAAAAATAGTCCCTATATGAATTGTTTCATGTATAATACAAAGGAACACTAATAACAAAAAATTCCGCTAAATTAAGAACTTCATCACGAATGACAAAACGTGGTCGTGAGTGGAACGCAGAAACAAGACCTGAAAAAAAAAAAAAAAATAAAGTTAGTTTTGTACACTGTTCTAATGCGTCCGATCACAAAATGAAAGCACACATCATGCATACAAACAAAATCTGTTTACACATTAAATAATGAATTAATGTTTTTACCACTAATGATGACCTCTTGAGGTCGAAACGAATTTGGCACAAAGGGTTATTTAATGTGTAAACAGTTTTTGATGCATGCATGATTTTTATATATAAATACACTGCACGGTATGCAAGGTTTTAAGGTAGACTGTGTTTGTCCGTCATACCTTCGAACCGAAAGAAATGATTTCGATTACATTTGGTACTGGAGAACCTGCGCTATAAGTTACCGAGTTAATCTGAATTTCGTTGTAATTGGTAAAATATCCTAACTAGCTACATGGTTTACGGGAACCATAGGTTCACACCGAATTAACCAAAGCCCTCCACCGTACCCTGTCCTGGGCCAACAAAATCCAGTCTCCTTCAACTTCTATCTCCCATAGATCCCGCCTGAGATTATCCTCCCATCTACGTAGGTCTCCCCACCAGTCTCTTCCCCTCAGGCTTCCCAACCAATACCCGGTGCACACCTCTTGTCCCATCCATGCGTACTATGTGCCCCGCCCACCTCATTCTTCTCGACTTAATCACCCTGCCAATACTGGGGGAGCAGTACAGATTTTTAAGCTCATCATTGTGCAGTTTTCTCCATACCCCATCATCTCCTTTCCTCCTCAACACCCTATTTCAAAATACCTGCAATCTATGTTCCTCCCTCAGAGAGAGACCATGTTTCGCACCCATACAAAACAACAGGCAAAATGACCTCTAAGTTTGGTAAAACTCAAGTCTGACTTTAATTTCCCCAAAAGCGGCTCATCGTACAAAATAAATTAGTGCATATGCACAGAGTTCTGATGAGATTTGCATCAGGGTTCGCATCCTTTTCAGATCAGGGGTGACATTAGCAATTTTCTTACCGACTCGTTGGCCATTGTTATAATAGAGGATAATTTATCAAAAATGTTACTAACTTATTATTGCAAACAGGTTAGCACATTACTCAGGAACTATTTCATTATCGAAATCAGTAATTCGTGAGATATATGATTAAGCTTTCAACATCAGGTTGAAATTATGCTTTTATAACTTTCATGCATCCTTCCATGTGTCCATCAAAAAGACATGTCCTAGCAAATGGCTTGACGTTCATCGTCATGCTGAACAGTTGTTCACAGCGGTAGGTACCGCCAAATACTGGCTATTAATATGGGTCGCAAAACTAAAAAACTCTGTCTTGTTTGCAATATCAGATAGCTCCGTTATTTAAACAGTCTTTAAGTTATTGTAAAATCGGAACTCTCCTTAATTTATCATTTGCCACTGTCCAATACGTAATTAAAAAATTGAAGATAACGAATTTGATCGAAAATAATAAGTGATCGGGCCGACACGTGTTACTGTCTACAAGAGATTCCCGGTATCTTATTCAACAAGTGTCTAGAAACCCCAAAACAATTGCTTGAAAACTGGCAGAAGACCTCGCTACAGCAATTGGTAAACACGTCAGCTTTCAGACCATTCTAAATCGCCTCTGTCGAAGTGGTTACAAATGAAGAGCGGGAAGATAAAAAACTCTCTATCAATGAATGAAACAGGAGGAATCGGTCGGAGTTCGCACGCGCCTATGTGAACAAGCCTATCGACTTCTGGAAAAGAGATTTATTCTCTGAAGAGCGCAAGTTCGACATATTTGACTCTGATGTGGGAGAACTTGAAATCGATGAAGGGACTATGATTGCTAAGGGATATGTAAACATACTACTGGGTAATTTAAAGAAATGTTCGCAAATTATAGATCCAAAACTTGTATTTGTTTCAACAAGATAATGACCCTAAACCTAAACACACAGCCCGTATAACCAGAGAACGGCTTTTATATTACGCTCGTGGGTTTCTGGAAACGCCTCCACAATCTCCAGGTATTAATCCGATAGAAAATCTCTGGTCACTTCTGGAATCAAGAATTAAGAAATGCAAATGTTCGCGATGACAAATGCTAATTGAAAATAAGAAGAAGGAATTGGATAAAATAAGCTAACAAGAACGACTAGCGTTGTTAGTTCGATGCCAAGACGACTTCAGGCAATAACTGATACTAAAGTTAATTATGCTTTTATAACTTTCATGCATCCTTCCATGTGTCCATCAAAAAGACATGTCCTAGCAAATGGCTTGACGTTCATCGTCATGCTGAACAGTTGTTCACAGCGGTAGGTACCGCCAAATACTGGCTATTAATATGGGTCGCAAAACTAAAAAACTCTGTCTTGTTTGCAATATCAGATAGCTCCGTTATTTAAACAGTCTTTAAGTTATTGTAAAATCGGAACTCTCCTTAATTTATCATTTGCCACTGTCCAATACGTAATTAAAAAATTGAAGATAACGAATTTGATCGAAAATAATAAGTGATCGGGCCGACACGTGTTACTGTCTACAAGAGATTCCCGGTATCTTATTCAACAAGTGTCTAGAAACCCCAAAACAATTGCTTGAAAACTGGCAGAAGACCTCGCTACAGCAATTGGTAAACACGTCAGCTTTCAGACCATTCTAAATCGCCTCTGTCGAAGTGGTTACAAATGAAGAGCGGGAAGATAAAAAACTCTCTATCAATGAATGAAACAGGAGGAATCGGTCGGAGTTCGCACGCGCCTATGTGAACAAGCCTATCGACTTCTGGAAAAGAGATTTATTCTCTGAAGAGCGCAAGTTCGACATATTTGACTCTGATGTGGGAGAACTTGAAATCGATGAAGGGACTATGATTGCTAAGGGATATGTAAACATACTACTGGGTAATTTAAAGAAATGTTCGCAAATTATAGATCCAAAACTTGTATTTGTTTCAACAAGATAATGACCCTAAACCTAAACACACAGCCCGTATAACCAGAGAACGGCTTTTATATTACGCTCGTGGGTTTCTGGAAACGCCTCCACAATCTCCAGGTATTAATCCGATAGAAAATCTCTGGTCACTTCTGGAATCAAGAATTAAGAAATGCAAATGTTCGCGATGACAAATGCTAATTGAAAATAAGAAGAAGGAATTGGATAAAATAAGCTAACAAGAACGACTAGCGTTGTTAGTTCGATGCCAAGACGACTTCAGGCAATAACTGATACTAAAGTTCTTCATACCAAGTACTAAATTTGTTTATTCTCAAGAATATTTAAAAAAAACTGTTGTAATTTATACGTGTATGAATAATTTTTGGACTTGAATAAAATGTTTTTTTTTAATTTTATTTATATTACATGTTGAGTTATGATATTTTTGACGTTATATTTACTCTTCAACAATAAATGTTTTATAAGTGCATCGCTAATACGAATTTTCTCTATGTAATAAAAAGGAATAAGCAAAAGAACATGGTGTATGAATACTTTTTTAACCACTGTTGGTGTCAGATGTATGTATATTAACAAAACGTGAGACATTGGCCTTTGGAAATACACGTACATTTTGAATAATATGCCTTTCACGTTGACATTTCTAGATACATTGTCTGCAGGTATTTTGCCTTCGCCTTGAACTGACCAGTCATGGAAATGACCCATGCGCAGTTTCTACATTTAACCAGCTCTACCCAGAACAGAACAAACTTCACCGTTGTTTATGCGCAGTTTTCAAATCGTAGTTCAAAAGTGGATATTGTAATTATTTGTTTTTTTGTGTTACAATGAAGCCATGAACCATCGATGATTGAGCAAATAAAAAAATATTTGGGATATTATGCCTAAAAAATACTAAATGGACGTTAACTTCAGCAATTCTGTGATGCAGCATCCAAGTGTGTATTCTTCAGACACTTTATATTCGTTCATCTGTCACTTTTGTACATAGTCACCCAATGTTTATCGAGCTATGTATATACTTTGGGCGCATGCGCCCATCTTCGGATTCGATGTTTCTACGTAGCTACGGCACACTTTGTTTAAAGACCAAGAAATATGATTATCCTTGTTGGTCAATTTATAACACATTCTCTAACATATTAAGTGTTTGCTGATAAAATGTTTTTTCTTCTTTAAGTGGGTTAATTAGAATTATTAAGCCTGTAATCCTTCAAATCTCTTCCAAGAATTGGTCTTTCCATCTTTTCTTGTGTTGGAAACAAAAGAGAAGAATAAAGGCTCAATATACATAAGCCCTTGTGTCAATATTTATTCGGGGGTGCCATATGAAAATTGTGGCAGCATCAGTAGTAGCAATATTAATAAAGATTAAGGTATTGGGATACACTGCTGTAACAACATACTCTCAGTACCATCCGCCAGCGCACTCTTACGCCATCTACTAGCAATTTCCTACACTAATAAAGACGACACTAGTAAAAATAACCACGTGAGACGCAGTCGGTGACTGTTAACACTATAAAAATATACATCCTGTGATTGCTACAGTTCCAGCACGCCACAGAATGTCGAATAGACGAGTTTTCACCAACACAAGAATGCGTATATGTTTCAGGAAGCAATGCTAGTTAATAGCAGTACTTGTACACACTTCATTTCCATTCACTGAGATAACTTAATTTTATTAGATTCATTCAGTAATCACAAGTACAAAGGCATCACAGTTTCGGTTTCATGTGTTTTAAAAAAGTAACTTTCTCTCATATTAGCGTCACTCGTTTAGTTATAATGTCAACAACAATGATTGGAGATTGTTAAGTGAGCGGTTCGGCTCTATTTTAAAGCATTACCTCAGAACTGTTCTGATGTCACAAAGAAAACATTCAATCCGGATACGAGGTTTTTAAGATCACCTTCGTTGCCTTCCAAACAATGAAGCAACTCAGTTTGCTTTGACGCAAACGCGGAAACAGTTCAACATTTTCACCTCGTCTTTCAAACAGTCCACACTGTTGTGTCGCAAATCTATTACTGTCTAAATTAATTCAGCTGTAATATTTGGTATAATGTCTAACGTTTT